GTAACACTAAGAATTACTTTATATCCTATAGAATGTATTTCTTACCTGTAGGATAAACTAGAAACATGCTAGTCTCATACTAAAAACTATTCACTAAGTAGCACTATTACTGAGACTGAACTTGAATTTAAATTGAACTTTATCATCACAAAGTAATCCAAGATTGGCCATTAAATGTTGGTATTAAACCACTGCATTTCACTATTGGTAATAATACTTAATATCTGTAGAGTTTACACACACACACACACACACACACAAATGTATGAGGTTTCTAATTTTAGTTTCAAGGAAAATAAGGGACATTAAATTTACAAAAACCTTATATGCTGCCTATAAAAAAAACTAGTCTAAAATATTTAATTCTCTGTGAACTTTTAAATTAGAGTACATATTCCAGATATTTTACACGTTTTATTAGAAAAAATTATGGAATCTTCATGTTAATCTAAGATTAGTTGACATTTTTTCGAAGAAGGGAATCAATTATTTGCCACATAAATGCATGCATATTCAGTGTATATATATATATAAGAAATTTCTTTTAAATAAATAATGTGAAATTAATGAAATACTACAAATTTGTTAAATTAAAATATAGTGAGAATGATTAATAAAAGTCACTCTAAAAATTTCGCAAATTGAACCAAAACTTTGAAATCTCATTTATTGTTTCCTATTTTTGGTTTTAGCTAAATTAATTTATAAAATGTTTAAATTGTTTCTATGTTATAGTGGTAGAGAGAAAAAGGAAGGAAATTGGATTCACTTTGTATAGCTTGTTAGATTTTTTTGAGCTTGTGACACAGCTATGTACTGTTGTCCGTAGAGAAATATGTTTTAAACACTTAACCTAAAATAATTTATTTTATCTTAAAACACTAATTCTAACATGTAAAAATTTCACTTTATCTGAATAAATCTCCAAGGTTTAATTAGTGATAGGATCTGACACCAGGTGTACTAGTTTATCAGTAAGAAAAAACGACCTTTTAATGCTATAAAGAAAGAATTTTAAAGGTGCTCTTGTACTTGTGTAATAAAGATGCACTTACAGTTCTGTACAAAGATTAAAGAAGATTTGTAAACTTCTAATTGAGTGGATAAACACTCAGTATGGAAGTAATGTCAGTTATATAGAAAGACATATTGTGTTTTTCCCTGTGTAGAGAGAGACTTGTAAAGGTAATAAAGATGCACTTACAGTTCTGTACAAAGATTAAAGAAGATTTGTAAACTTCTAATTGAGTTGATAAACACTCGGTATGGAAGTAATGTCAGTTATATAGAAAGACATATTGTGTTTTCCCCTGTGTAGAGAGAGACTTGTAAAGGTAATAAAGATGCATGTGCATCTCTTGTCTTCTGGTTGAATTTTTGAATGCGAGAGTATGTGTAACTTACACATACATACATACATACACATAAATTCCCCTTTGATATTGAATATTATATCTACATCTAAGTTTTTCAAGTTTCTTCATCTTATTTCTGTAATATAGTTATTGTACAGGGTGTTCCAGAACTCTGGATCCATAGGGGAAAATACACAACTTATTATTTAATTATTATTCAACTTGCATGCCATTAACAGCTGTACATATATGAATCCTTGAAGGAATGTTTCTTGGAATCATTCTTAAGATGAGACTTTTCTGAGACTGTGCATGAATTCTGAATGTTTCCCTTCAGAGATAACTAACTAACATGCCTCTCTCTGGCTGTTTCCTGAAACATCTGTCGATACCAGTTCCACCTTTTCGGAATGTTTCCCTTCAGAGATAACTAACTAACATGCCTCTCTCTGGCTGTTTCCTGAAACATCTGTCTATACCAGTTCCACCTTTTCTGAATGTTTCCCTTCAGAGACAACTAACTAACATGCCTCTCTCTGGCTGTTTCCTGAATCATCTGTTGATACCAGTTCCACCTTTTCTGAATGTTTCCCTTCAGAGATAACTAACTAACATGCCTCTGTCTGGCTGTTTCCTGAAACATCTGTCGATACCAGTTCCACCTTTTCTTGATTGGTGTGCTGTGCCATCAGAGTGTTTTCTTTCCTGAAATAACTACAACTGACATAAGATGTTTAAGTAGATAATGTTTTATTTTCCCAATGGGTCCAGACTTCTGTCACCTACTTGCAATTTTCAGTCGCTGGAAAAGTTTGTTCACAATTTTTTTTTAGAAAAATAGTGTTGTAATTTTGTATTTTTTAAATTTTCTGTTGATCTGTGCCATACTGTACTTATCGAGAATGTGATTACACCATATCCGGATTTACTGCATTCTCAAAACCTACTAATGATATTATCAAAGGTTTGTTGTATTATGGTAGATACAAGGTTATTTATAAAACTGAAACTAAAGAGCCGCAGAATGCTTCATCAAAATTTGTCATTACGGTTGAATACAACGTACAATCAACTAGACTGCATTACGGTTGAATACAATGTACAATGAACCAGACCGTATTACGGTCTAATACAATGTACAATCAACCAGACTGTATTATGGTTGAATACAATGTACAATGAACCAGACCGTATTACGGTCTAATACAATGTACAATGAACCAGACCGTATTACGGTCTAATACAATGTACAATCAACCAGACTG